GTGTTTGTTTCCATTTTCTAATAATTGCTCCCACAGTGGATTTCTTCACACCAAGCTGCTTACCTATTGCAGATTCAGTCTTCCCAGCCTGGTGCAGGTCTACAATTTTGTTTCTGGTGTCCTTTGACAGCTCTTTGGTCTTGGCCATAGTGGAGTTTGGAGTGTGACGGTTTGAGGTTGTGGACAGGTGTCTTTTATACTGATAACGAGTTCAAACAGTTGCCATTAATACAGTTAACGAGTGGAGGACAGAGGAGGCTCTTAAAGAAGAAGTTACAGGTCTGTGAGAGCCAGAAATCTTGTTTGTTTGTGGGTGACCAAATACTTATTTTCCACCATAATTTGTAATTTGCAAATAAATTCTTTAAAAATCAGACAATGTGATTTTCTGGATTTTTTTTTCTCATTTTGTCTCTCATAGTTGAGGTATACCTAGGATGAAAATTACAGGCCTCTCATCTTTTTAAGTGGGAGAACTTGCACAATTGGTGGCTGACTAAATACTTTTTTGCCCCACTGTATATGAGAAAACCAGTTTTTTAAAATCCTTTGTCTTCCTTCCTCAGTTTCTCAGCGAGGGTCAAATTAGGACAAGAGGGGGGGAGACATATTGACACAGAGTCAACACTGGAGAGATGAATCCCCACAACACGCCTGTCTGTATTTCATCTTGTCAGTCACAACGGAGCACATTTGCAGAAACAGACCAACCAATAATTTCTCACAAGATACATCTGGGCCAGACCCTCCCTCCCCTGAGCATGGATCATTTTGCTGCATTTATAATCAATCACTTTCTCTTTTTCAATATCTGTTCCCTATTTCATCTCAAATTGATAAGAAGGTCACTGTCCCAGCATTGAGAGGGTGACCTCCTGATGTTGGTGCAGCACAGATGGGCAATTTGGGGTGTATTGATCAGAGCACTGCAGTGTAATAAGCATGTATATCTGTGTGTGTACATGTGTGTGCATGTGGCCTCTGTGTACACAGGTGTGTGTTTGTAATTATAGGGGTCACAGACCGTCCCTTGGGAAATAAGACAATATCATAGATGCAGAATACTCTGGGGTAAACAGCAACAGGAGAGCGGGTTGTTATCTGTTGAGGAGTGTAGGAATTGACCTGCTTCTAAAAGCTTGATTTACTGTTAAAATCTGAAAAAATCGCCCGTTTTAAAGACGGGTTAAAAACACGAAAATGGGAGATATAAGAGTTGCTGTCTTATATGTGAATGTTTGATATATGAAAATTGGAATTATATGGGCAGACTTTGCCAGATTTGCAGCTCTGGTCGGTTTGAGGAGAAAAAAGTGGATGGGATTTATGTGGTCTGTCATGCTTCACATTTCTACCCCATATTTTGATCTACAATGCCAGAATGTGAGTACCTTGAGTACCAATCATTCATGTTCCCTGGCCCGACCCCTCCAGTGAATCTGTCACACAGCCACAGGCTACTATTGAGATTTAATGATGAGCCGGGCTCATTAACCAGTGATTTTATGGTAAACCAGACCAAAAGATTGACTTGAAAAAAAGGAAATCAATGGTGAAGACTAATAACGGGAGAGATAAGGTGCTGGGTGAGATAGGTCACCTGTCAGTCTGAACTCTGACCTTTGATCTCTGATTAATATAAGCAGTCTATCATCCTGCCTTTCAGAAACACCAAACTGATGAGATTAAGAACACATTATTCTCCTATAATTCAAAGGTTACCACAGATTTTAATTGATTACTTTATTTATGATTGAATTGTCACGTTTCAAAAAAGGACACATGCACCTGAATATTTTGCGAGTATACATCTTTACTTCAGGGCCCTGAATGATCTGCTGTTGGTGGGCTCTGACCTTTTAGCAGAACAAATGTTGGTTATAGGAAAAACATGTCACATTTATTTATATGTAAAAAATTCAAAACAATACTTAAAAAGCCTTCATGTTCTGATACAGATGACGTGCATCTTTGTGTTTTATAATTACATTGCATGGATAAGAGTTGGTTTAGAGCTATGACCACATTACCGTAGTGCATGTTACACAAAGCTAGCATAACAACAGAAGAACAACAATTATTTTCATTGACATCTAACAAGAGAGGAGAGTGTTGGAGCGCTTCCTCATTTATTTTCCTCCTCGTAATAGCTCCTACAAGTTGCTTCAATCAGCCTATTGGTCTCCAAAGAGGAACAAACAGTCATTGTAGTAGTAAATTAGTGTTTACAAATGAGCGCATAAATACACACATGCATGTTCACACACACTAACACAGCATGTTATGACATAAAGGAAAAGTGTGCTATTAGATATGCAGACATCCGACTCCTCAGGGATCACACGGAGTAATTAAAGCAATATCCAACCAGGAAACAGTTGGCGTCCCACAGGGAGACAATGCATAACACTACAGCTCAAAAACACATCTCACACTCACACACACACACACACACACACACACTCAAAAACACACTCACACACACACACACACACACACACACACACACACACACACACACACACACACACACACACACACACACACACACACACACACACACACACACACAAGCACGCATTGCCTCGAGGCTGTAAGTGAAGCAGAATAAAGGCAAAGAAAGGACGAGACACCTCAGTGCATCTTTGGATTTGCCAGAGGAAGCTATTAACCACTCTCACCTCTGCTAAGTGCAGCATTCAGTGCATTATGTAGTGGTGTGGACTGTCATGTCTGAGCGAGAAGCATCAAAAGTGGGGCACAACTGGGTTTGTTAGCATTTTGTGTGGAAGAAAAGGTTTGCTCCCGGCAAACAGTATCGCTTCACTATGATAGCCGCACCTCGTATCATATTACTGCTGCAACTAATGATCACTTTAATTGCTGATTAATTGATTGCTTTTGTTGCTTATTATTTCATTATCCATCTCAAAATAAGGTCAAAGAATATAACTTAAATAGCCCCTTTACAATCCCTTGTCCAAAGGCAATTTATTCATATTGTTTTGTTCAGAGCAACCCCAAACCAAACTAATGTGTTATATTGTAATATTATAATTAGTTGTGTGTGTGATAAGAAAGAGAAAAAAACATTATTTAATTTGATTAAGAAAGCTAGAACAAACTCTGTTCATGCTGGCTTTTATGCTCGCTAAATGATTGAAATGATACATGTAAAAAGGTTTTCTGTTTTATTTTCTGTTGATTGACTACATATAGATGGAAGACTGTGATTAGTTTCAGTTAAGGATGCATTTGTTTGTGTACCCTCCCTGTTCCCACACCTCCCCTTCTCTCCTTTCCTCTCCTCCAAGGCCTCCCCTTCTCTTTAGGTGGAAATTTACAGCCGCCCATAAAATGAGTTCTTCTGGATGTCCATGTCACTGCACTCTATCACACTCCCGCTAGTGATCTGTTACCAGGCACACTCCCACAATATCGCCCATAAAACTGCTCACAGGCCTCATATTAATGCAGTGGCGGACCAGCTCCAGCCCTGCGAAGGACATAAGATGTCTGTGGCTTTAATTTAACACTCATGGACACTGCCTGGGGAAAATGGTCCTTGTATCAATCAGGGTTAAAGTACTATGGGCAAGGGCAGGGCATTCCATCATTTAGATTTTGTAATCTCATCCCTGTAGCACCCATAATTATAACCTTTTTGGACTATTACAGTAATTGAAATCATTTATATAAAGCTGCACTTATTGGGAGAGTTTCACTTGTAAAAAATCAAACAAGAAGGAAATGTGACACACTTGACACTCGTCTGATGACACCTCAACCTCAAGAGAATAATACTGACAGGCCCCGCTCATAAGGGCCTCGCCTGTTGAATTCCTCCTAGCTTCACGTCACAGAACCGAGAGACGGCAGCTCTCGATACGAGGATATACCGGCGGAGATAGGAGCTGTGAACTGGAACAGGGTGCAGTCGAAGTGTGTTTGTGTGTGTTTGTGTGTGTGTGTGTGTAAGGAGCAGTCTTGAGGCAGCTGGAGTGTGACTGGCTGACTTTGATAAGGTCAGCCGCAGGGGCCCCTATTGTCATACAGTCGTGGCCCCCTGCCATCGCCACTGTCATCAGCACTGGCACACTGCTGCTCCGTGGCTTACACACACACACACACACACAACACACACACACACACACACACACACACACACACACACACACACACACACACACACACACACACACACACACACACACACACACACTCATGGACACGAAGGAAACACACAATCCTCGTAAGCTGACACAAGCTCAACAGTAAATGTGTTTGCTGGCAGACAAAAAAGCCAGTAAATCTGTTTGGCTCCGTGGATATTGTCTAAATGGCAGCTCCACTTCAGCAAATTCCCCAGCTGAATCCTTTTCTGTCAGGCTGTCCATAAAAGTCTCAGTCTATCGTGTCCCTCCAGGAATTCATTGAGGGATTTTAGTGAGCTCTGCCAAGATGTTTAATTTAGTTGTGGTTTCTATGAGCATTGATTTGCAATTTGCAATGCCTTTCAAGTTTTGTGAGACGATGACGATGTAATACAAATGAAAAAATAAGGGATTAGCTTGCAGTTTGATTTAGCTATCCAAGCAATAAATGATGATAAAGATGCTTTCAATCTTAGGTTTAATTTTAAAACTATACTTGGCTATTTGTGAGAACAACTCGAGTCACATTTATATTTATTACACTATCTGCAGGTGAGTTTCTCAAATACGTTTGTGTTATGCTGCAGTGACTTAGTGGAGTCCTCCCTTTTCCTCTACGCTTTTACAGCAACAGCTGCTAATTGCATTTTGAGTGATAATCAGGATGAGGCTGTAAATCAACAGCCTAGAGAATTAGAGGGGAAGAGAGTTTGTGTGTGTGTGTGTGTGTGTGTGTGTGTGTGTGTGTGTGTGTGTGTGTGTGTGTGTGTGTGTGTGTGGTGTGTGTGTGTGTGTGTGTGTGTGTGTGTGTGTGTGTGTGTGTGTGTGTGTGTGTGTGTGTGTGTGTGTGTGTGTGTGTGTGTGTGTGTGTGTGTGTCAGTGAGAGAGTGTGTGTGTGTGTGTGTGTGTGTGTGTGTGTGTGTGTGTGTGTGTGTGTGTGTGTGTGTGTGTGTGTGTGTGTGTGTGTGTGTGTGTGTGTGTGTGTGTGTGTGTGTGTGTGTGTGTGTGTGTGTGTGTGTGTGTGTGTGTGTGTGTGTGTGTGTGTGTGTGTGTGTGTGTGTGTGTGTGTGTGTGTGTTGAGATCTCCTCCTCTCTCGTTCCTTCTTTATCCCCCTCTTTATTTCTCTCCTCCTAAACTCGTGTCTTCTCCTCCCCGGCTGCTTGTTCCTGCACGCCTCATGTGGTTTCAGATAGACAGTTTGGCAGTGTAATGTGTCTAAATCTATACCCGGAGGTGTTCTCCTGCACACACACCCATCTATTTCATGTTTCCACCACTTCAACTCATTCTCACCTTCTATTTAATGACATGGATCTAATGGCAGGAGCAGCCCGAACCTGCCTCTGCAACTGAGGCATGCATCCAGACGTAGAAGTAGAAATATGTGCAAATAAAACACGATGTGTGCATACATATGAGGGCCGTGACAATACAATATTTTCACTGCGTAGTTAAGATTTACAATACTGATATAGGCACATTCATTAGGAAGAATTTTAAAAGAAAATAAGCCTATTTATTCCAATTTATGCTTACAGTAAAACTATTGTGTTTTTTCCCTTTATTTGACCAAAATGGTTGATTGTTGATTTAATAGATGCTCAATTACTTTATCCAAATGATCATATGTGTATTAACATGATATCAAAGGTTTGTTAATACATGTTTTTTGGGAATGCAAACTTTTAATGTACAGATTGATAGATTTGCATCTATTATCTTTATCATTAAATTAATCTTAAAAAAACTTTTAATACAAATATGTGTTCCCAAGCTACACTGCATGATTGGGGATGAGGTTAGAGTAAATAACAAATGAGAGGATTTGGTGCCAGCATCGAGGGCCGGATTAATACTCATAGGTACCAAGATGTAAAATCCTTACAAATAATTCACAATAACAATATTATCGCTGTATTTATAGAAAATTCCAAAAGGAAAAAAAGCGTATTAGTTACAGTAAGTTAAATTCCTCTTGAACTTACTTATTGTGCGTTTGTCTGTTTTTGACCATGAGGTACACTGATTTGTTTGGGAAGGAATACAAAGTGAGAATGGAAAGCAACAGAAACGATTGAAGAGATGCTAGATCATTTTCAACAATACTATGAAATATATAAAAATAACTTGAGAATTGAAATGTTTTTTTTTTATAAATAAGGTTATTGTTAACACCAAGACATGTCACAACAGCTTTACCCCTTTACAAATGCAACCTTTAACTCAGTTGTGACAGATGAGCATCCATTTGTTAACCGTAAATAAGTAAGTGCTATCTACACATAGACAAATTACGATCCAATATGCCTTTTGACAGTATTAGGCCTGCACATTTCTCTTTATTAAGTCATCATTCTTTCCTTTAATACAAATATAATGTGTTCCCTAGCTACACTGGATGATTGGGGATGAGGTCATTGGAAATGTCGTTTTAAAACTACAGAAAAAGGACTCAGAGGATTTGCTGCCAGAGGGCTGGATTATTACTCAGGCATCAAGATGTAACTTCCTTTATAGTCTTGGCTAGCTACAGTGTTGTAAATTGGATACAAATAGCTACAGGCAGCCAGTGGCAGAGTGCAGGTTGGACCAGACAGATTTAGGCAGGATTTAGGGAGGTTAAATCCCAGGTGAGAGCACCGTCCTGAATGAGCTATACAGTAGCAGCTGTGTGAAGGGCTTTGGCAGCACATATTCTGTCCAGATGGAAAACTAGAGTGCATACAGTTAGTGCCAAGAGTAAGCCTCATCTGATGGAGAAGTGTTCTGTTATTAAACTATTAAATGTTCACAATAATAAATCTTCACTAACATGGCGGTTGGTTTAAAAAATACGTCTCCAAATATTTACTATTAACTAAATGTAAGATGAAGTGATTCCAATATATTTTAGTGCCATTTAAAAAGTTATAAGTATTACTAGTGATCGTTAGCCAGGATAATCATGACATTAACCTTTTATTTTATTGTGATGCTGAAGGTCATCCATTATTGCCATAATGCATTCCTGCTTTTTCATTTGTAACATTGCCCTCATGACTTATTTCAACCAGATATACTTAAAGAATACATACCACAGCATAACGGGTATGTCAACATCTGTGAAGGTAGACAAGCTTCTGATTAGATACATAATAATATCGTCTACCTAAAATGTTTGTCTCAAATTAGCCAGTAAATAATAAAAAAGCACATGTTTATCTCCCAGTGTTCAATATGACATCTTCAAAGAAGTGTTTTTTTTTTCCAACAAACTGACATCCGATATAGAAGTCAGCATATTCTTCAATTTGGAAACTGGAACTATTGATTATCTGGCTTTTAGTTTTCAAAATAACAGAAAATAGCTCTTATTTAGATTTCTTTAAATAAAAATAATGATAGATGCTGGAGTTTCCTGGCGTGCTTCTGAGCTCTAGTCTGCAACAACTGACAAAATAGACATCCATAACAGTTAGAAGTAAGTAAGCTAATAACATTAAGAACCAGGACATTTCAAGAGCGCAGACCTCCATCAAGGGCAAAATACCCTATCTTGCAAGGCTAACAAAATGTTAAATATAATTTCTGTATCTGCTTGTCGTAGGTTCTTGTCTTTCCTCTGATACATCCTTCTACTGATTTTCATGTAAATCAGGCCACAAACATAAAACATACGCTCCTGCAATAACAGTCATGGCACTGTCATTCATCTCTAAGCATTTCAATGCATGAAGTGGAGAGAGTAGTTTTCCAGGAATTATATATCAGCATCTTGAAGGGTAATATACATGGAGTTACTCCCATCAACTTTATGCACCCACTATACACTACAGTCACTATGTGCCAACACGTAACAGTGCAGTCCACTGGCCAGTTCACATCAGAGACAATGTAATTACACCTGATATGGTTAAACTACCTCGTATATTTCCTCACATCATTTATTACTTTTGGAAGAATGCCAAATTGAAATTCCTCCCGGACATTAAAACTAAGATAATTCGACTAAATGATGTGCGGTTACTCATGTGTGAAACAATCTGTGCTTCTTTCAGTGGTGATAGAGAAGGTGGTGCTGAGAGCAGTGACACACACATCTGAGGAGCTGAGTGAATACGTGTATGAGGTGGGGACAGTGAAACACAACTATTGCTCACTTTTCTAATTGTTCTCTGCTCATATAGTCATGTTTTTACCCTTTCTGGTTCTCTACTTTCTCTACTACATCACCATCCTTCCTCCTTTTCTCTTCCTCCTGCAGGCCAGCTGGTCGGACGATTTGGTTTCATCCGTCATCAGAACCCAGCAGGAGGTGACAGAGCTGCTGAGCCAGGTCTGGACTGCCACTGACACACACTCCCTGGTTCATATTTATAATAATCTGAGGCTACAATAGTATTCATTTTACAGATTGACCATATCAAAAGGGCCTCTAGTTTTCTAAATGAAAGAATCCCTCTGTTTCTGATTTGTTATAGTAAACCTGTCTTTGGTATACCAATATGAAGCATTAAGCTATTTATACAGGTTCCAAGGACACATAGCTTGGATACATGAGCACAGAATTGCACAATGCACCTAGTGACGTATGTGTTTTTGTTTTCACTTAGCTCTCAAAAGCATTTCCCGATGACGGAGTGGAGAACTTCCTTCCTAAGTCCAAAGAGCTGGACCCCAGGTGAATTCACTTCCTGTTTATGTCTGCCTTTGATACGTTTTGGTCTCATCGTGGAAAGATGTGTTCCATCGAAGGAAAGGAAGGTGTAACAGCATTCACATGTAAATCAGTGAAATAGCATAAAAACAGAACAGAAACTGCTTAGTATAACATTTACAAAAGCCTCCAGGGTATCTCTAATTCTCCTGTAACCTAAAACATATTTGCAAAATACCAAACATATTTGTATTATTGTATCTTTGTGCTAGCAGCTGCTGTTGTTAATTGACAGTCTTGCAACGCAGAGATATCTGGAAGAAAAACTATCAACCCGGCTTTGAAAATACCAAATGATTCTACGTCTACAAAACAGTATTGTTGTGGAATCTCACTGTCTTATAACTACATGTAATAAAGCATCTTTTTGTAATAGGTTTTACCCCCAGTTAGCTGTCTTTGTCCTCCCTGTGTCTCTGTCTGACTCTCTGTCTCCCTGTCTCTCTGCCTCTCTGTCTCTCTGACTCTCTGTCTCCCTGTCTCTCTGCCTCTCTGTCTCTCTGACTCTCTGTCTCCCTGTCTCTCTGCCTCTCTGTCTCTCTGTCTCTCTGCCTCTCTGTCTCTCTGACTCTCTGTCTCCCTGTCTCTCTGCCTCTCTGTCTCTCTGACTCTCTGCCTCTCTGTCTCTCTGACTCTCTGCCTCTCTGTCTGACTCCCTGTCTCTCTGCCTCTCAGTCTCTTTGCCTCTCTGTCTCTCTGCCTCTCTGTCTCTGCCTCTCTGTCTCTCTGCCTCTCTGTCTCTCTGCCTCTCTGCCTCTCCGTCTGCCTCTCTGTCTCTCTGCCTCTCTGTCTCTCTGTCTCTCTGCCTCTCTGTCTCTCTGACTCTCTGCCTCTCTGCCTCTCTGTCTCTCTGTCTCTCTGCCTCTCTGTCTCTCTGACTCTCTGCCTCTCCGTCTGACTCTCTGCCTCTCTGTCTGACTCCCTGACTCCCTGTCTCTCTGTCTCTCTGTCTCTCTGACTCCCTGTCTCTCTGTCTCTCTGTCTCTCTGCCTCTCTGTCTCTCTGCCTCTCTGTCTCTCTGCCTCTCTGCCTCTCTGCCTCTCTGTCTCTCCGTCTGACTCCCTGTCTCTCTGCCTCTCCGTCTGACTCTCTGCCTCTCTGTCTGACTCCCTGTCTCTCTGCCTCTCCGTCTGACTCTCTGCCTCTCCGTCTGACTCCCTGCCTGCCCCCAGGTGTCTCACAGCGCTGCCCTGCCATGTCCTCCAGTACCACAGTGCCCAGCAGTTCTTCACTTCCACCCGGCCTCTCTCTCCCAACGGTCCCGCCCCTCTTCCTCATGCCCTCCCTCCTCTACCTTCCTGCCTTCCTACGGCTCCTATTGCCCCCACCTGCCCGTTCGCCTCCAGCTCTAGTAAGTCTTTGTTTTTGTCTTGTTGCCAATCATATCTTATGGATTTTTTTAGTGGAGATGGATTAAAGCTGTGCAAAACAGTTTTTCTTCATAAACATGTAGCTCAGTCTGTAGGGACTTGGCTTGGGAAAACGAAGGTTGTCGGTTCAGACTGGTAGCTTGAGAGGTGCCAGTTTGCCTCCTCCGATGTGTCTTTGAGCAAGGCTCCGAACCCCTTACTGCTCCTCGGTGCAGAAGCACCTCTCTGTTAGTGCATGTCTTTAGGTCCTGTGTGTGCATGTGTGTGTGTGTATTGTATGCACACAAATGTTATAACTCAAGATTGAATAACTGAATTTCCCCTCTGGGATAAATAAAGGTGATCCTAATCTTAATATTTATGATCATTATTATTACTATTATTATTAATCTGATTGTCAAGCTTTAACACACTACATTAGACTGTGACATTGTATTTTGAGGATGTGTTGTGTTAGCTTATAGTGAGTGTCGGGGCAAAACGACACTTTCTGCATTTAGTTTTTTATTTGTGCCTTTTATGTTGAGTTCATTCTTGATTTGTTCGATAAAATAATATTTTTAACACTCTTCATTTGTATTTTAGAAGTTTACTGGAAGCAGCAGAAAGACCAAACTAAGTACACTTTAATATCTGTTTATTTGTCGCAAGTAGTATCCTTATTGCAGTATTAGACAAAGTATTGAGTAACGCATATTTTCCTCATATCGTGCTGCTGCTTTTTTTCCCTTTTTCTTCATATGTGGAGAATACATATATCAGAAAAGTTCATACTTGTTTAAACTTCAGATTTCATGAATGGCTGAGATTGATTAAGTCTAATAAGTCAGTTTGTATCTAAAGTGGGCAGAGGGGATATAAAACATTAGACAAAGAATGCTAATGAGGGAAGCGACAAGAGATGGAGGATAAAATAATGAATGTCATGGTTTTGGGGTTAGAGAACAGACAAAAGAGGTGTTTGAAGACACGGCTGTGGGTGGACAGAAGGTCTTGGCTGGTGGTAGTGAGGAGTTGAGGGAGGTGAGGCTGCAGGCAAGATTTTCACTTTGTGTTTGAAGCGGACGGGTCTATTTTAGTCTGGTGTGGGAATTCAGAGTGGCATGTTTGTGTTGGAAAGCCTGGAGTGTGGTGACTTCATGTTGGTGTGTGTTTGATTTTATGAGTGTGACTTCATCCAGGAGAGTATTTGTGTGTGTGTGTGTGTGTGTGTGTGTGTGTGTGTGTGTGTGTGTGTGTGTGTGTGTGTGTGTGTGTGTGTGTGTGTGTCGTAGGAGACCCCAGGGAGCTAAACTAATACAAATATGTCTAACTGTGCAGTCATTTGCTGCCACTAACACACGCAGCTCTGTCCCCCATCACAATATCACAGTCCACTACTCACAAGCTGCTGCTATAATATAATTCGTACTCACTTTTGTCACTTCGGTGTTACAGGGTTACAGTGGCCTCACAAAACTTTTTTTGGTCTTGAATTCGCATTCAAGTTATACGCTCTGAAATAGCTCTGCGCTGGTGTTGCCGTCATGTTTCTATAGAGAGATCGGTGCTGCCCGACTAGACAGAAGTGCTGCCTTCAGCGTCGCTCGCACACACTTGAAAAAAATTTCGCCGGGCGCTGCAAGTTCAAATTGTCAACTTTTTCCTTGTTTAACGCTGACTAGCTAGCAGGGGACATAACAATAGAATCAGGTGAATTCAGCTTTACTTACAGAGCCTTGAGTTGAACACAGCAAGTTTTTTGGCAATCAACTTCAAAGTTGAAATAATTTGAACTTTGAGAGCAGCGTTTGTCGATATTTAGAGCGGTGCGCGGGTCGAGGATAGGAGCACAACGGCAACGTCAGGACAGAGCCGTTTTACAGCTTGTCATGTGACGGCAGCCTGAAACACTTTACTTGTGAAGATTATAAAGGAATGTTGGTTTTCACTCTGTTCCCAGATCTCGACTGTATGGTTCAGTACAGAGGAGCCAACAGGTAAGATTATTTATATCTTTATCTTTCTATAGTTCATCATGTGTGCCCCCCCTCTGACTGTATGTCCTCTCTCAGGGCGGTGTACAGAGTGGCCAGCGTCCAGCCCGTGGTCAGCACCCACAGCTCTGTGTTGACTCGCCCCTCTCCTCACCTCTCCTCCCTCCCTCCTCCCCTTCCTCCCGCCATTCCACCCCCTCAGCTGTCCTCCCTCCCTCCCCCTGTGCCAGCCCTTCCCTCCCAGCGCTCCATGACCGGTGGAGGCGATCTCTCCTCACCCCCACATCCCCAGCACAGTCTGTCACACCCGTTCTCTCCTCACCACCTTAACCCACAGAGCAGCAGTCAGTCCAGCGCTCAGTCCCATCAGCCGTCCCATTCCCTGCCAGCATCCCACTCACATTCCCTCCCGTACCCCCAGTCCCACTCCCTGTCTCGCTCCCTGTCCCACCCACTGCCCCAGTCCCTGTCCCTGCCCAGCACCGCAGAGCAGAACGGCATCCTGGACTGGCTCCGCAGGCTCCGGCTCCATAAATATTACCCTGTGTTCAAACAGCTCACCATGGAGGAGGTGGGTTAGCTTTAGATGTGTTTCCTTCATTTATTGTATAAAGAGATATCTTACTGGAAACAATACAGTCAGTATTTAAAACTGGAGCTTTTTATTCTCAATAAGCCAGTATGTTTGAGGTTTCTAAATTCTTATATTCTTCCTGTGTTTCCTACAGTTTTTAGCGCTGACGGAGAACGACCTGAACATGTACGACCTCACCCAAGGAGCGAAGAAAAAACTGAAGACCCAACTGGAGCTACAAAAGACTCAACTGGAGATACAAAAGTTAGTATATTAAGCTGCAGATATCACTTATCACGAATTATATCGGTATATCAAATCACAACTTATTTTCAGTTATGATTTGTTAATTTAATAAGGGATAATCGACTATTAATAAAATAGTAATAAAAAAGGTTCATGACTCCAGTTTCAAAATTGGAAACAACATAGCTTACCTAAATGAATATGTAGACATCATGGTAAATAGTTGCTTTCTTGCTTTAAAAAAAAGTTGAGATTGTAACATTGATACCACTCTCTTGTCTGAAGTATAACGTTTTTGCCGAAAGTTGATCAGGATTCAGTATTCTATTTGGTTATGGTAAGATTTAATTAAAACAAGTGGCATCCCATCAAATACAGATCAACCAGAGCTACAAAAGACTCAACGAAAGATCTTAAAGTCAATTGAGAAACTGCAGATATCACTAATCAGTTGGTTGTGATCTTCTAATAAAGAGGCATTTAAAAAGGAATAATCCACAATGAGTAGTTTAAAAAGTAATAGAAGCTAGTAACATAATCATTTTTCACAAATGCAAATGTCTAACAAACAACATAGCCTACTTAAAGGCATACATGGCCAATGTGAGAAATAATTCATCTCTTGCTGCGAGGTAGAAAACAATGATACTGTCACGTATGAGCACTTTGTATGAGGTTTATATCAGGAGATGCTTAGCTTTGAAAATAAGGCACTGCCTCTAGCCAATCTGAATACAGCACTCCCAACCCATAATGGATTAATAAAATCATTCTAAAATGAACAGCGAAACAGAATGCTACATAAACAGGTCTCACTGTTGACTCTTGATGACCCTTGTTTTTATGGAATTCTAACAACCAAAGAAATGTAACTACAGTGAAATATCAGTAAATATGTTAGAGGCAAGGAAAGATTCATAAGCATAGTACAAGTTTACCTTTGCTCACTGTTTAAACTTGCGAACTGCATTTTGACAGTTTGTATGACTTGTATGTAAGCTCCATGGAAGTGAAGTGTCACTCTCTTCGACACTGCTTAGCATGCATTCTGTCACACTCACATGCTCTGAATCATCTGCCGAGCATCTGGATAAACTCTCAAGAGCAGATTTTAAACTGAGGGCATAAAAACATCACAAATATTTGTTGTCTAGCATATGACAATTTTTATTTTGCCTAGCGTATCAGCTACCAGTTGAATTTGTTTGTCGTATTAAAGTTCAGTTAATAAAACATTCCCATAAGGTGGAGTTGCTCCATTCGGTGTGTATGCAAAGCTGATTTACTGGAAGTGATGCTGCTGCTGTCCTCTTGCCCCTTTACTGCACAGATCTGTGGTGAAGTAAGCAGATGGTTGTCCTTTAAATGATTAACAGACTGAGCGATCAGCTCCTGATCTGGACAGTAAATAGCAGCAGTAACGCTCCATACAGCGTCAATGGTTAACCAGCTGTAAGATTAGATATACTCAGGAGGAGATAACCACTAGAAACACATCAGAAAACACGAATGCATGTACTCGCAAGCACATGCGTCCACATGCTCTGAATACATTGCTTAAACAAACATCTATCCACACACACACACACACACACACACACACACACACACACACACACACACACACACACACACACACACACACACACACACACACACACACGACCAGTTCTAGAAAGTTACTACTTACGTTGTTTACTTGAGTATTTCCATGTAATGCTACTTTATACTTCTACTCCACTAGAAGGGGAAACAATATTTATCTAGCAGCTTTAGTTAAAGAGCTTTAGTTAAAGAGGCTCATTTGCAGGTTCATATTAGTATTTTGTGCCTCTCCTGTGACATGTCTCCATGCTTTAATGTTCAAAAAGGTATTTATTTGTCTCATACTGCCTGTGCTGCAGCACCTCTTTTCACCCTCTGTCTGAAACCAGAGCCCAATATGCTCTGATTGGTTAGCTTGCCGGATCTGTTCTGATTAGTCAACCGCTTGGGCATCACTATCACGTACAATGTGTTGGAGTGGTAGCCAATAGAAGCACAGTGTTACATAGTGATCTCATCATGTATTCGAAGTGAACAAAGGAGTCCAATGGAGGTGTTTCAGGTGGGTGAGTGTATGGGAGAGAAACTCCTGGAACTTTGGGATTATAGCCTTTGCAGACCATTTACATGCACAAAAAACAACATAAGGCCATGACGTTTCACTCAGAGGTTAAGGAATAGACGAGAGGGTTAGAATTTAGGAGCTGATTTTGGATTGTGGATTATCCGACCGCAACCCCACTCTTCCCTGCGCGGCATTGCACCCTGGGATATGGTAGACCGCATCAGATCCGGGAAAAGAAGGCTGCATTCGTAGGCCGCATCGGAGGAGTCTCGTCTTTAAAAAAAAATTGGGACAGCCTTCTTTCGTGTCCGACACCGGCATTTGTTTTCAAATTACCATGAACAGTAATTTACACACATCTGGGCTAACTCCATATGTGTATTCCCATTTGTTTAATCTTAATCTCGATGTAGGCTAGTGCTAAATGCTGTCGGAGTGCACCGGAACGAACGCCACTATCATAATATCTTCTGAAAACAAATGCCCACACACACACACACAGACACACACACACAAACATACACACACACACACACAAACATACACACACACACGCCCTGGCGACCGGACCTCTTCTTCATAAAACCAATAATATTGCGTAATAATCGGGCAGTTCGATGTGTCTAACCATAAGAAAGTATCTCGTGCAAACAGAGAAGGTATATCATTTTTCTCTCTATGAACCCTCCAGGACTCTGTACATATTTGTTAAGTGTTATTATGGGAGAATTACTATTCTTGTGGTACTACTGCCTTATTAGGTCCATATTGAGCAGCGCATAAAGACCAAAACTCATGTTATTAGAGGGTTATTGAGGAAAAACTCTCAACTATTACCTATTATTACTTACTATTACTTGTAGAATATGGTCATGTAGAATAAGGCATTAATAAGTGTTTTATAATGACTAATAAAGAGCCAATATACTGCTATGCATGTTAATTAACAACTAGTTCAGGGGTCTGCAACCTTTTTAAGCCGTCATCGTTTGCTGTGAAAGCATATAACTCTGTCCACGCATAATTAAATCCTGTCTTCCTCCGGTACTTTTCTTTGATTTATCCATAGTTCGCTCATCGAGCCGGGGGTCAGGTTATTCACCCGCAGGAAAAGGCGCTGGCGCGGGACCGTAGCAGGATGTGACGCATATTTTAGTTGACCTAATTAAAACCGTTTTGTTTTTTATGTATGTGTCACAGTATCACCGCAAAATACAAGATACGAAACATTTTCAACCATGCAATACAATATAAATAGTCCGACAAATACTTTTATTTTATTTCCTTCTTATTTTTGTCTAAGCTCAAGGGAGTCACAACAGAGGGCTTAAAGGGCCACATACGGCTCGAGGGCCGCGGATTGCCGACCCCTGAACTAGTTGATGGTGAATTTGTGTACCTTAATATAAAGTGTCACCATAATATGGAGGCCATTTTCTGCAGAATGAGTCATTTTTATACTCTAAGTAGATGTTGCCCACAATACTTTTGTACCTTTTCCTCATACAGATTTTAAATGTATTAGCAATAATGTTTTGGTACTTTTTATCAAGTTAAGGATCTGAATACTTCTTCCACCACTGCCCAAAAAAAAAAAAACACATACACACACACCTGGGTTGTTCTCATGTGAACCTGCTCTTATTATCTCTTCATCGTGTTTCCATCCATAGTGTCAACAGGTGTCCATTAGGCATGTAGCAACACGTTGGTGTGTGTGTGTGTGTGTGTGTGTGTGTGTGTGTGTGTGTGTGAATAAGACACAGGAAATGGAAAGTTGCTGCTGTGGTTTTCCATGTGTGGGGTTGAGGGGTTTGCAGATGTGTTTGTCTAGTCTAGACTCAAGGAGATGCTGGGATGCTAAGGAGCGGGATGAGTGGATAATGGTTCCCCCTGGTGGAAACACACTGCCATTCAGCTCTTGGATATTAACTGATTGTAGTCATGCAAAATAGGTTACCGACATTACATTACATTACATTTAGCTGACGCTTTTATCCAAAGCGACTTACAATAAGTACATTCGACCAGGAAGATACAACCTTGAAGAAAACAGAATCATATAAGGACATCAGGTTTCATAGAGCTAAACATTTCAAGTGCTACTCAACTGGCTTTAGATAAGCTCTGTTAGCAGTTCTTTGTTAGTAATTCTATCGTTCAAAGTTTGTAGTTCAAAGAGTCGAAAGAGATGAGTTTTCAGTCTCCCCCGGAAGATGTGTAAGCTATCTGCTGTCCTGATTTCAATGGGGAGCTCATTCCAACATTTTGGAGCCAGGATAGCAAACCCACGTGTTTTTGCTGATGGGAACTTGGGACCCCCTCGCAGTGCGGGTGCAGCGAGCTGTTTGGCTGATGCAGAGCGGAGTGCACGTGCTGGGGTGTACGGTTTAACCATGTCCTGGATGTAGGAAGGGCCAGATCCATTCGCAGCATGGTACGCAAGTACCAGTGTCTTGAAGTGGATTCTAGCAGTTACTGGAAGCCAGTGAAGGGAGCGGAGGAGCGGCGTGGTGTGGGAGAATTTTGGAAGGTTGAAGACCAGACGAGCCGCTGCATTCTGGATGAGCTGCAGAGGTCGGATGGCACATGCAGGTAGACCAGCCAGGAGGGAGTTGCAGTAGTCTAGCCGTGAGATGACGAGAGCCTGGACCAGAACCTGCGCTGTTTTCTGGGTCAGCTGGGGACGTATGATATGAGATGGAAACACATTTGAGGAAACTTAAAACAAATATATATGTACGTTAATGAGATATTTTGTTCTGTTAGAGTTTGAGTAAAACATCCTATGTGTGTCCTGCAGGGAAATTAAGCTGGAGAAGCGTCCTTGCAGCGGCATTGCCAGAGTGACGCCTTCCAGTCACATGGGACCCTTGGCTCATCCCATCTCCCCTGCAGGTAACACAGCTGTTTTTTGTTCAGGGTTTATCTTGGATTTATTTAAGTTTACAATGTTTAGCACAGTTTACCAGGGAACAACATTTTGTTTCCTTGTTTGATTTTATCTTGTATTAAAAAGGTTATTTGCTATTCTTTTGTCCAGCAGTTTGAGACAGTAGCCCAAGGGTGAATGTATGCATTTTTGTAATGATTGTTAAACGTCCACAATGCTCTGTTCCCTATCGATTATAAAACCCTAAGTTGCAGTGTATTGAAATGTGTTCCAGGAGAGCTGCGGGTGGAGGTGGACGCTGTGCCACACCATCATCCCGTCTCAACAGACAGCAGCTCGTCCTCAGGCTACTCTAGCTCTTCCTGCTCCCCCCGAACACCACTCTACTGTGACTCCTCGTTCGACAGGACCAGAGACATTCACAGGCGTACGTTTTCTCACAGGACTGTGAAATTCTTGAATGCAGCAGCTTGAAAGTTGTGTTAGTGGACTAACATAACTGACTAATATTATTGTAGTTCAAGCAGTACCCTCTTTTTGGACCCATACTTCCTCTATAAGATTATTGTGGAAGCTAAGAAAGGCTGTGATATTTTTAATCCCACAAACAACTGAATTGTAACTTTCCCCTCCCTGTGTGTCTGTATTGCAGGAGTGTTGGGTCCAGAGGCAGCAGGTGGAGGTCCAGAGAAGGAGCGCTCCTGTCTCTTCATCCTGAACTCCAGCGGCCCCCCAGGCTCCAGTCGCCCCACAGCCCAGGTCCTTCCCGTCCAGACAGACCCTGCTCATCTACACTCACCCTCCTGCTCCTCCCACCCCGCCCTCTGCCCCCAGCAGTCTCCTTACCACCCACAGGCCAGTTTCCCCCCGCCCCTGCACTCCTCTGTCTCAAACCCGGCTCGCATCCTGAGCTCGCCTCGTAAGCCCCGCCCCCCTCCACTGTGCTCCGATGAAAGGACTAAACCTCCGGGCCTGCCTGTGTCTGCTGCAGGCTTTGGTGGGGGGGTCAGCGTGGGGAGAGGGATGAGGCTGGAGAGTTTGTTCCCCGGGCTGAACATGGACGGCTCCTCCACCCTCCAGAACTCGCTTTACCGGGGCCTGGGGGGGGATTCCCTGGGTCTGATGGTGGAAACCAGCGCGGCTCTGACCTCCACCTCCAACAGCCTCCATCACGTGTCCCACCCCCCTCTGCACTTCCACCTCTCCTCCTCTACACCCCCCTCTCCGTCTGGATACTACTCCTACCCCCCTACTTCCTTCTCCTCGTCCTGTTCCTCTGCAAAATCTGGCATCTCTAGTAGCGGCTGTGGCATTGTTCCCATGGCAACCGCAAGCAGTGTGCCAGTAGCTGCAGTGCCCGGCAACACTTACTTTCCATCCCAGTCTACCTGTAGCCCCTCCCCTTCCCCTTCCTCTGCGTCTTCATTGGATCAGAACTCAGGTCACACCCCTTCCATGTGCGTCTGCAGCTCCTGCGGTTGTCGGGGGAACTGCGGCGCCTACGGGACGCTGCCCGGATACGCAGCGGCCGGGTACCTCCAGCCGTTCTCCACGGGCCCCTCGCTCTTCACCCTGGGGCCCCTGCTTCACCTCAGCCCCCTCATAGCCTCGCCCAGCGCCTCCGTCAGCGGGGGTACAGCATTCTCCTACCCAATGATGGTGCCCCCCCCACTCTACCGCCACAGCCCCCTGTCACAGGACCAGCAGCAGGGCTATGGCTTCTACCAGCCCCACGTCATTGTTGGAGGCCAGAAACGGGCAGCAGGGAATATGTCGTGTTATAACTGCGGCGCCAACGGACACAGAGCGGAGGAGTGCAAGCAGCCGGCCATGGACTCCGCCCAGCAGGGTGAGTGACCGGGGATGAATCAAAATAGATTCACTTTTTGTAGTGTTCAATACAAAATTATCAACTTCAATTCAAAAATATAATTATTCATTTGTAATTTCGATTTGGCAAATTGAATGATCTTTTTTCCTCTAAAGCATTCTTTAAAAGCTATTTTTTATGAATTCCCGGATCAATTGATTTCTACTGAATTGCTGTCATTGGACGGATTAATTAGTTGGTGTTTTTCATTTTGTTGGTGCAAAACAACACGTGGTATTCTCAATGTAATTACAAAAAAATGTAAATCCTTCAAATCGAAGGTCAGTAAGTGGTTGATTTCCCACATTTTGCATATTATAATCTTTGGTACATCTCTACAAGAGATTAGTTGTTGCCTAATACATTTCTTTTAAATGCACCATATTGAAGAATAAATGTGTGTATTTTGATAATGCTACATTGTGAACAACAAATGTTGAAATGGCCAGAATATCTAGTAAACAGTAGCTAAATATCAGCTAGCTAAATATCAGTTAGCCTAAAACAGCTAGCTAAATAACAGCTAACTGTAAACGTTAAAGCAGGAATGTAATGTGAATGTAATCTTATTAAATTGTTCATTTACTATATCTTGGAGTACATTACATTTTGTGTCAAGAATCGTGGAATTCATTGATATTGGTAATGTGGTACAACCAGGGGTACAACCTATCCAAAAAGACATAAGAACAGGCTGCTTGGCCCACTTCTCTTTCCCTTTATTGCCAAAGCTCTAACACAGGAAGTGTTTTTCTCTGTTGTGCTCCACAGGGTCATTTCGACTGAAGTACACTCCTCACTCTGACAGTAAGGACTCGGGGGACTAAGCAGCAGAAACATCTTTCTCCTGACACAACCGTACCTCATGTTCCTGCTGAAGCCCGGAGACATTCGGATGGCAGCCCGCCTCTGGGGAAAGGAGGCAACACCGCTCTCTTTTGCAATCCTTTTACAGCAGCTTACAAAGAGATAAATAGAAGAACGGAAGAGGAAAAGATAGACGTGAATTGTCATATTAGCTTTCATCTGTCCTTCACAAAAAAAGCCAGGAGATTTAGCTGGGACGTACAGTATGCATCCCAAATCTGCTTCCCAGATAAATAACTTAGCATTTATAGTATCCAAAGAACTCTCTGAGTCAGGTGCATCTTTCCTTGTCTCAAAGCGTGCTCTTATTGTGAAGGACTGGATACCAGCTCCAGTGTTACCTTCCCTTTGAATGAATCTGCTGGTGTACAAATGTTCATATTTTACAAAGCGTCGATACTTTTGAAAATGGTTCTTGTGCATAGTATGTCTGGTGATCAGGTTTAGCGCCAGTTGCCTGTAGATGGCATGAGGCTGTGTACAAGACAGATGTACTCATGTTTATTTAACATTGTTTTCGCAGCTAGAAATCAACACACTTATGCAATACGTGCGCAAAGCGAAGGCAATCAAAATTTGACTTTAGAACACAACCGCATATTCAATTCAACAAAGGGAAGTTTGACTGCCACACACAACTCATTGTTTTCTGTTGTTGTTTTTGTTCCTTTTGAGTAATGCATTATATTTGTTGGAAGCATTTCAAACTACTATGATTGTCAAGAGGCTTTCAGCTGTATCAACTTCTTGCTCATCTTTGTTGGACAGAACCAAAAATAAGAGTCACTTTAAAGGTACCCCGAGGCACTTTTTACTACTTGTTGCACTATGGAGTAATGTCTTGATGAGCATGTTGGTGGTAAACATGGACGTTTACAATGCAGGAAGAACGTATTGGGTCAGAAATATGGACATGGAGGACAGGTGACACTAGAAGCTCTCTCCTGCAGCTGAGGGATCACAGATTGTACCAGCTGCCATTTCTATGAAAAGCCTTCTCCAGGGCCTGGGGCGGACTGCATCAGCTGGGGGTGATCCGCAGCTCTCTGCCTCTGAGCTCACCTCAGAGCAAACTCCTCTCCAGTGCCAAATACTCATCCTCTTGACAATCACAATGCACACTGAGTATTTTCAATAGAGTATTTCATTGTTGGACATTTCAGAAGGTGACTATTTGTTTTCGTTTCAGTTTTATTATGTTTTATTTGACATGTTGTTGTAAGAAAATGAATGTTGAGTGTCCCGGATGTTAAATCTTAAACTTGTTCTCACTCCAGGAGAGGTGGAGCAGACTCTTTTTATGCAAAAGTCAATCCAGGACAGGTCAGTCAGAAGATGTTTCACAGTGTGTTCAGTTCTCTGACTGACGAGGATCTGGGCAGGACCCAGAGTTAAAGACACGAGGACGGCTGGTCCTTCAGATGAAGCTCCTTCTGTGTCCCTGGAGGACGCGGAGCAGGGGTGTTTATTTAAAATATTAAATACTGAACATTCAGTATGTATAACAACGTCTGTCTTTTATAATGTAACATTATGGTCGCTTTTCGCAGAAGTAGGGGGCTTAGAATCAACTAGTACACTTTTGTCCAGTGTTGCACAGTAAATGAATATACCAAAGAGTGCCTTCTTTCAGGTTTTTATGTAACACAGTTCCATTTGTTGCTGTTCTGGTATTAGGCAGTTTCCCTAAAGAATCACTACAGCGCCGCAACTGACGCGTGCATGTTCAAGTTTAGAAAAAAGTGCTTTGAATATATATTGTGTGCAAATGTTTGAACAGGGTTCATTTGTAGGTCAGTTTTTGTATTGCTTTTGTTTGTTTTATCAAAATTAAGGGATTTTTCGAGTAATAAAGTATTTTCTGATTCTGTCTTTCATCACATGGTGTTTGTTCCAAACTCTGCATCCATTTAACATTCAACATAGTTTTCTCATTACTCAACAAAGAACAATGATTTAAGCATGGAAGTCTTTCATATGTAACGCCCATGTTTAATGTCCAGTTCAAAAGACTTCAATTTAAGCTGTGGAATTTAAATCCTTGAGCTTTTCCAGTGGGCTGGAAGAATTAGTTTGAGTCAATTGAGCAACTCTGAGATTACAGCTCTTGTTTTGTCATGGATAAAAAAACACTATTCTAATCCATAGAAAATGAAACGGCAGACAATGGAACAGACCCATATTTACAATATAAGATTAGATGCTTCGGACTGCTACAAACACAGACACATCTTTAGTGTTGCAGACAATAACTTTTATCTGTATTCCATTTGTTGCCATCATTTTGGAACCAATGAGCTAAAAAGTGTATGGAATGCATAAACGCCACATAAAGGAAACATTTCTGATTTATATTTTCTCTAAATGTGTGTGCAGCAGGAAGGAACACAGGTCTGCAAATTAAGTATGATTTCAAGCCTCAGTTATTACAGGTCTGAGAGCTCACCTTGCTATAAATTCCGAAAATGTACAGAGAAAAAACAACACAATCAGTGTCGCCATATGACATTGGAAACTGTTTCCACAAACACTAAGAAGTGATGCACGCATCTCAATTGAACCTGCCTAAAGACAAGGGCTGTTTCTGAAGATTTGAGGGCCCTGAGCAAAATTGAACACTTAAAATGTTCTAAAACATTCTTGACATAGTTTCTTAATTTTTCCTGATCATAATAAATATCTACTCCATAAACTGATCCCCCCGTTACAATCCTTAAACTGTGTATGTTGAAGACCATTTAAAAAATAATTTGTCCCTACCACTTTCAAAACAAGGTGACACTCTTGCTGGTAAATATGTCTTAATAAGTTTGCTATATTAGGCAATGCAAGGCAAGGCAAGTTTATTTATATGGCACCTTTCAACACAAGGCAATTCAAGGTGCTTTACAAAAATGGAAGACATTCAGACAAAGGCATTTAAAAACAGTCATTAAAAGAAAAGATCATAAAAGAAACATTAAAAGAAAAATACATGAATAAAAAGTTACAGTGCAGTTTAAGATATGAATAGTTCACACAGAAGTTCCACTTTACTGATGAACACAACAGCTCAGTTTCAATTAAAAGCAGCGAGAAAAAGATAAGTCTTCAGCCTGAAATGGTACGGTCGAGGTCCAGAAGTCCTGACGAGTCGACAAGACAGGGCTCAGTCGTTGAACTTGTACATTTCCGTCGCCAAGTTCAATAATACCGAGGCTTTAAGACCTTATTTGCAGGGTCTTTGGACGTCCAGGCGGACTTGAGAGTGAT